TCACAGGAGGGGGGGCGCGCGAGGAGCAGGGGCGGGGGAGGCTGCGGATGGCGACGGCGAGGAAACAGAGGAGGAGAAGGAGGAGGAGCACAGGACAGGACAGGACATCCGCATGAAGGGGGTCAACATCAATGCGCCCGCTAAAGTGTAGTGTAGAGCGTACGCGTAATTCTCCTGCGTGAGTGTTACGCAGCATGGACTCGACATCCCTTCGATATCTCATCGAAGCAACTGCCAAGGCCTGCGCAGAGGCGTGCACGCTGCCCTCTTCACCCCAACCCCTCACCCCCCCCCTCCTCCACCACAGGTGAGCGCGCGGCCCGTTCGCAGGGGGCGCTGTGTTACCAATCAGCGGCTCTCCGACGAAACCAAGGGGCGCGGCGCCGCTGGCACTGCGTTGCCAGTGGCGCGTGCGAGGGGGCCTGCACCAGAAGGAGGGTTCCCTGAGCCCCTCTTTAATTCGCGAGCCAAATCCCCCTGCATCCCACGGAGAAGAGGAACGAGGAAGGGAAGAGAGGTGGGCACCATGCACTCCGAGATGGCATCGCTAGTGCGAACGGCGCCCCTCGCGCCAAGACAGATGCTTTCCCCCGCGCAAAACGCGTTCAGAAATGCACGGCCCCTGCTCTGGTTGACTTCACCTCGCGCCGGCTCGCCCGTCACTTCGCCTCGTCGTCTTCTGCAAGGTCACACCCCATAACTACGAAAACCTGGAGAAACAACAAACAAGCATGCGGCGCGCGCTGAAGATTCGCACGACATCTCCGTCCAAACAAATACGTGGCTGCGCGTGCGAATTCGCATCCAATTTAGGCGTGCAAAATAGCCCGCGCTAACTCTTCACGCGGCGGCAGTTTCGCACTTGCCCCCCAACCTGGCGAAAACTTCGATGCTTTCCCATTCCGAAAGAGCGCATTCCACTTCGGGCAAATACGGAACGCGCCGCTGTTTGCCAATCGGCGCCGCAGTTCATCCACCGAAAAATAATGGCCAACATCGCGTCACATAACGATATAGATGACGTCCAAAATTCGCCCGTCGCGCTCCCGCGTCTGCTCTTCGATGACAAACCCTTCAACGGCTGCGTCTTTTACCACTAAAAGGTCAGAGGGAGCCCCCGTTGAGAAACGTTGCCAGCCCCCGGGCTCGATTCCCTAATCCTTCTCCCCTGGGCTCGATTCCCTAATCCTTCTCCACCTCCCCCACACCTGCACGAGCCCTCCGCGCAGCAAAATTCTAGCACTTCAACAAATTCTCAAATGGACACCCCCCATCTCGCGCACAGCGTTTGCAAGACGCCCTTAGCGATTCCTTCGCGGGTCGCCATAAAATGGAAACACCCCAGGAGCGCTGCGACCTTGGGGTCTCCATTGAGGGGCATGGGTTTTCGAAGTTCGTCATCGGCACCAGTCGGTCGCCTCTGAACCTCGAGGCCTCCACCATCCCAGACTTCCTTCGCTCTCCGGCGAACAAGCGAGTCGATCTCCGGGGGCAACATTTCCAAATAATTGGGTCGGCCCCCGTCTTTCCAGACCTCCTTCTCGCCCGTCTCACCGCGGGAACCCATGGGTTTTCGAGGTTCATCCAACCTCGCCCCCCGGCGAACGAACGAGTGCAAACCAAGACCGATCTGGTTCCATTGATCCAGTTGAGCTTCGATCTCCCGGGCAACATTTCCACGCACTTCGGTTCGGGCTGCGTCCGCACCTCGGGGCCTCCAACTTCCCTCGGGCTCGCGTTGTCCAACTTTGCTCGCCGGCGCACAGACGAGCGTGAAGCAGGGCCAATCGAATTCCACTTGCGTTGCTGTTCTCCTATATCCTGTAACAGCTGTGTCAAACGATTGGATTCGCTTGCAGCAGGGGCAGGCTGCTCCTGGGCCCTAGCGGGCGACGGTGCTGAGGGGAGCCGAGGCGGCTCTGTTCAACTCCCTTGGCAGAGGGAAGGGGGAGCCAAGCAAGCTCTGCAAACTCCCCCGCTGCCGTCAGCCCGCCACTCTCGCCGTCGCTGTTGTCCACCTCGATGTCGGCACCCATCTGCGCACCCTATGGCGGCGGTTCCTGTGTTCTCTCTCTTTCTGCCGAAGTTGTCCAACAAGCAGAGGGTCCCAGGGCCTGCGCAACCAACTGCTCACAAATTGAAATCCGGGCAAGTTGGCATTTCCAGGCATGGGTGCGGCGAATCCGTCCTCTGTGTCTTTGGCTTTTCGTTTTTTCCAAGTTCACACTCAGACCTTCCATCGGAAATTGGGAAGATGCGGCACAATAAATGTCCATCACCTGACCACGACCCAGTCACTCTAGAGAGGATCGTAAAGAGGTGCGGTCTCGGAAGGGCTGCAGGGATTAATATGTTTTGTTGTTCCTTTTTCTCCTCCCCTGGCCCCAACAGAAACAACTTGTGTGGCTGTCAGGGTGCGTAAGTCGTGCGGCGGGTGAATGAAAATCTTCCCTCCGTCGGGGCTCAATGTGCCTGATCTCGAACGCCGACTAGGAGGAGGAGGAGGAGGAGGAGGAGGAGGAGGAGGAACCCAGGACGCACCAACGATGCTTCAATACCCCCCACCCCCTCCAGGCTCCCTCGTGACAGGTCCCTGCAAGAATAGTCGAAGACAATCGTTTGAGAGTCCTCAGGCGTGCCAAACGCTTCTCCTGGAACTCCAGCGCCGCGAATCAACGCGATTGTTGCGCCCTGACCACTCGAACTCGTGCCAAAACACCCTTCCTGGGACGTCAACACCGCGAATCAGCCTGACTGCTGCGCCCATAACAACCCTAAATCATCCAGAACACCATTCCCGGGACTTCAGCCATACGCGTCCTTCACCATGCCGTAAGCTGTCAAGACGATGTGCGCACCGCTGAAGCGAAAACAGCATGTTGAAAACCAAACGCCCTCCATCTGCGAAACTGCTGCACATGCTTAGGACACACCCGCCCTCCATCTTTGAACATGCTGCAAAAGTTCAAGGCGAATGTGTGCGGCGCTCAGGCGAGAGCCACATTTTGAAAACAGCCTTCCCACCGCCCGTGAAACTGCTGCAAACGTTTGAAACGAATACGCAAAGCGCTGAAGCGAGAGCCACATTTGAAAACCACCCCGAAGAGGAGGGAAGAGAAGAGAGGAGGCCCATCCCACCCCCCACTCACCCGGTTTTCACCCCATGCCCAAGGCACGCACGGCGTCGGCCGACTATATCTGGTATTGTTGCACATGTGATAATCGCAGGTCGACCTTCTTCTGACAGGGGCGTGCGATGCGCACAGACTTAACACAAATAGCACACACTCTTCGAGCGCCAGAGCTTCCACCCGGAAGGAAGAAACAGAAGTCGGCGTACGCGTTCCGACCATCGCTATCTGTCGAAACTCCCCAAAGTAAAACGGTCCATCGTCCGTCTTCCACCACCCACCCCGCAGCCGAACACGAGCCCGCACGGCTGCTTCAATCAGAATGCACAACAAGATTCCACTCATCCCCCCTCCTCATCCTCCTCCTCCTCCTCCTCCTCCTCCTCCTCCCCCTCCTCCTCCTCCTCCTCCTCCCCCTCCCACCCCTCCTCCTCCTCCTCCTCCTCCTCCTCCTCCTCCTCCTCCTCCTCCCCCCTCCGCCACTCCCCAGCGCTCATCCCTCTAAAATGTCTGGCCCTCCCCCGCTCCTCTCCTCGCCCTCCCCCGCGTCGGAGTCCTCCCCTCTCCGCCCTCACGCCGCCCTCTGGTCCTCAGTCGCCTCTCCTCCCTCCTCGTCCACCTCCTCCTATTCCGCTTCATCATTGTCATGATCCTCCTGCTCCCCTTGGCGGTGCGCACAAGGGGGTCGGGGGAGGGGACGGCTTCTTAGAAGGAGGCCGCTCTTAGAAGGCACGGGCATTCCATCTACGTATAGATAGGCCCGCGTCTTTGAAGAAGCCGGGGTGCTTCTGAGAAGCCGTCCCCACTCCCACTACCCCCCTGTGCGCGTGGCTGATCCTCCCATCTCTTCTCACCCCTCCTCATCATATTCCCCCCTCTCCGGAGCCTTCTCGTCCTCCTCGTCCTGCCCCTGACCCTCCTCACACTCAATCCCGCCCTACCCCTCTCACTCTTCCATACTCTCCTCCGCTTCCTCCCTCCTCCTCCTCCTCTTCCTCCTCCTCCTCCTCCTCCTCCGTCAGCCTCGAGCGTCCGCTACCTCTCCTCCTGCTCCTCCCACATCTCCTGATCACACCCACTGGCCTACTCATGCCAGCCATCCACATTCTCCCCACCTTGGCACGATTTGGACGCAGTGGACGCGAAAATCCGACGCTGTCGAGTCGGAGCCTCAACTTTCGCGTGTAACTTCTATCGCGCATTGCGAGGCATCCACCTGAACAGGATGCCAGGAGCCATCCGTATCGGTATCCTTACCCTCCCACGTCCTCGAAAACTCATATCCTCTTCGGACTCCTCAACATCCTCCACATTCCCTTCTCCCCATCCCCGAACCACCGTCAATGTCTCCCTCCCCTATCAGCGACTCCTCGTGGGCCTCGCCGTCTTCATCGCCATCACCATTGTCAGCGTCGTCAGCGTCGTCCTCAGCAGCGCGATCGTCGACATAATCGTTGACGGCATCGAACAGCGTCGTCGGTGTCCTCCTCCTCCTCCTCCTCATCATCATCATCATGATCATCAGCATCATCATCATCATCATCATCATCATCATCATCACCATCATCATCATCATCAGCATCATCATCATCATCATCATCATCGTCGTCGTCATCGTTATCATCCTCATCAGCATCATCAGCATCATCAGCATCATCATCATCATCATCGTCATCATCAGCATAAGCGATATATCATCATCACCAGCATCAGCATAGTAAGCATAATCATCAGCACCATTACCATCATTATCATCATCAGCAGCATCATCATCAGGCGCAGCAGCGACAGCATAATCAGCATCGCCATCATCATCAGCATAGTCATCAGCACCATTACCATCAGTATCATCATCAGCAGCATCATCATCAGGCGCAGCAGCGACAGCATAATCAGCATCGCCATCATCATCAGCATCATCATCAGCATCATCAGCATCAGCAGCATCAATATCTTCATCATCACCATCATCATCAGTATCGTCATCATCATCAATAGCAGCAGCAGCATCATCACCATCGTCATCAACATCATCATCATCATCATCAGCAGCAGCACAAAAATCATCATCATCATCATCATCATCATCAGCAGCAGCATCATCATCGTCACCATAATCATCATCAGCAGTGTCATAACTTCCATCATGATCATCATCAGCATCAGCATTACCATCATCATGATCAACACCAGTATCAGCATCATCATCATAATCATCATCATCATCGTCGTCGTCATCGTTATCATCCTCGTCCTCATCGTCATCGTCATCGTGATCATCAGCATCAGCGTCAGCATCAGCATCAGCATCAGCAGCAGCAGCACCATCATCATCATCATCATCATCATCATCATCATCATCGTCATCATCATCCTCGTCGTCGTCCTCATCCTTGTTGAACCTCACCGTCGCCAACCTCGACCTGCCGTGGTCGCCACCATCTACGCCATCTTCGCTATGATCGTCGTCGCCACCCCCGATCTGGCGTCGGAGTCCCAGGCGTCGTCGCAGTCGAAGGAACCCCTCTGCTCGCAGCAGTCCACACCGACGGCCCAGAATTGCACCTGGTCTGCGAGGGTCATCGTCGCCATCCTCCTGTCTGATCCGCGTCCTGCTCCTCCTCCTCCTCCTCCTCCTCCTCCTCCTCCTCCTCCTCCCCCTTCTCTCCCTTCTCCTGATCCCCCTCATCCTCCTCGTCATCCTCGCCAACGTCGTCATCAGCATCATCATCATCATCATCATCATCATCATCATCATCATCATCAGCATCATCATCATCATCATCATCAGCATCATCATCATCATCATCATCAGCATCAGCATAATCATCCTCGTCGTCATCATCATCATCATCCTCAGCATCATCATCATCATCAGCATCATCATCATCATCATCATCATCATCATCATATCCCCCCACCTCGTCAGCATCGCCTGACTCATCGCCATCGTCATCATCATCAGCAGCATCATCATCAGTAGCATCATCATCATCATCAGCATCAGCATGAGCATCAGCATCATCAGCATCATCAGCATCATCATCATTATCACCACCACCATCATCATCATCACCATCATCCTCAGCATGATCGGCATCCTCAGCATCAGCACCATCATCAGCATCATCATCATCATCAGCAGCAGCAGCATCAACATCATCAGCAGTATCATCAGCATCCCGTCGCCGCCGACGCCGTCAGCATCATGACCAGCATCAACATCAGCAGCAGCAACATCATCATCATCATCGTCATCATCATCAGCAGCAGCATCGTCAGCACAATCATCATCAGCATCAGCATCATCATCAGCATCAGCATCGTCATCATCATCATCATCATCATCCTCACCAGTATCCTCAGATTCGTACTCATCAGCATAGTCAGCATCACAACCACCAGAACCATCACCCACGTCATCATCGTCACCCCCAGCAACACAAAACATCATCGCCAGCATCATCATCAGCAGCATCATCAGCATCAACAGCGTCATCATCAAGATCATCATCAGCATCAGCATCATCGTTGCCGTCATCAGCATCGTCATAAACATCATCATCAGCATCATCATCAGCATCAGCATCACCATCACCATCATGATCGTCAGCATCATCATCAGCATCATTAGCACCATCATCGTCATCGGCATCAGCATCATCATCATAATCATCCTCATCAGCACCATCGTCATTAGCCATCACAATCATCAGCATCAGCAGCATCAGCATCATCAGCATCATCAGCATCATCAGTAGCATCAGCAGCAGCCTCAGCATCATCGTTGCCGTCGTCATCGGCATCGTAATCGTCGCCATCACCGCCAACCTACTTACCATCACAATCATAATAATCATCGTCAGCAGCATCATCGTCACCCCCAGCAATAAACAGCATCAGCATCACCACCATCATCATCATACTCAGCATCATCACCACGACCGTCACCACCACCACAATTATCATCATCACCATCATCAGCAGCATCATCATCATCAGCAGCAGCATCTCCTTTTTAAGCATGATCATCATCACCACCATGACAATCATCACCATCACATTCATGCCCCCCCACCTCATGTCCATTCCCCTCCCCCGTCTCTCCCCCATCACCCGCCTCCTCCTCCTCCTCCTCCTCCTCCTCCTCCTCCTCCTCCTCCTCTCCCTTCCCATCATCATCAGCATCATCGGTATCATCAGCCGCGGCAGCATCCTCATCAGTGTCGGTCGCAAGGTGTGACCAGGCAAGGTCCTGCGACAACTGGGGTGCACTAAGCCCTGGTGCGAGCACGGTCTGGTGCGAGCACGGTCGCGAACGCGGAGGCCCTGAGCGGGAGTCCGCTTCTCACCCCCCCCCACCCAGGGAGCCCCCCTCCCGAGACCCCCCCCCCTGGGCGGAGTGCAGCGACGACTAGCGACGATCCCACCATGGTGGAACCTGCGCGCTCGTGCCTGCTCTGTACTGTGCTCGGAGCGGGTCTTGAGCTTCTGGCAAGGGGGACAGAAACGGGGCCAAACAGCTTAGGGTATGGCTCGGGGCTCGGATGTCGCGAAGCGGGCATAGCAGGAGGAGCGTGCCTGGACCTTGTTTTGCGCTGGGCCTGCAGGGTCGCCAACGTCATGTCGGTCGGCGTTTCGATCTGCACCAGCACCAGAATCACGAAATTGCGTACTCTTGTCAGTCATACATTACGTTGATTCCCACCTTCACCCGTCTCAGTAATCAATCCAGTCTCAATAGCGATCTTGGTGCGAGTACAATCGCCACCCGTGGGGTTCATGCCCATAGAGTTGCCACCATCTGACGTGTAAGAAGAGCGAACCGAGCCGCACCAGCAGTGTGAACCCTATCATGTCCCGATGGCTGCGCCCTTGAAACAAAGAAATCTACATCCTCAGGATCCTACATTATCATTGTCGCCTGCGCCTGAGCAAAGTCAAGCACTGAAACCACCCTCGCAGGCGATACGAATGGCTGAGACCTCATACCAGATCATGGATCCTTTCGACAGCTGGCGTTCGATGTACCCTGTAGGCGCAAGTGCGCACGAGTCGATGAATTCGATCTGCTCCAGGAACTGAATGAGCCAGTTGCGGTGTCTGCTCAGGCACATCACAACGTTCAGCGCCCACATGCCTCATCATCATCATCAACAACGACAGCAGCAGCATCGTCATCATTAACATCATCATTAGCATCATCAGCATCATCAGCACCACCAGCATAAGCATCATCATCATCAGCATCGTTATCTCCACCATCCTCATCATAATCGTTGTCACCATGACCGCCATCGTTATTCTCATCATCAGATTCGTCATCATCATGACCACCATAATCAACACAGCATCCTCATCGTACTCATCACAGTGTTCATGATTAACATCATCGCCACCACAATAACCATCATCATCATCATCATCATCATCATCATCATCATCATCATCATCATCATCATCATCATCATCCGCATCATCAGCAGCAGCATCACCATCATCACCATCATCACCACCATCACCATCATCACCATCATCATCACCACCATCAGCATCACCTAATCACCGTCATCATCAACAACAACATCACCATCAGTATCATCACCATCACCATCACCATCAGCATCAGCATCATCATCATCAGCAGCATCATCGTCAGCACGACCCTCCGCTTCCACACACCCCTCGCCACCACCACCCTTCATCACAAGCCCCTCCCTTCCTCTCCCCCCCCCCCGCTCTGCCCTCATGCTGGCATCTGCTCTCGGACCCACACTTCCTGGCATACATTGGGCGTCGCACCTCTGCGAGGGGGGCATCGTCCAGAACGGGCGCAACGCAGTAAACGTTCACGTCCTTGTAGCCAAGCGCCCTGCTCACATCCAGTCGAGCCTCCTCCGCGAACACCAGCTTCCCTGCATCGGCATATCCTCGACAGACGCGCGCAGGAGGGCAATAATCACACAGAGGAGGAGGGGGCGGGGAAGGGGAAGAGAGGAGCGAAGCAGACGCAGACGCACCATGGACACCGGAACCAACATTCATGTTGGCGACATTTGGACCCACGCGTCTGGGAATCTGAATTCGGATTGTGTGTTCCCATGCGTGCGGCCCCCGACAATTGTCACGACACCGAGAGGAGCCGACTTGTGACGAATGCCACCTGGCAGCGCTCAACGCCACCACTTCCTCATCACATTGGTCCCCTACCGCAAGGCAGAGCACAGAGCAGGCGGAGCAATCGTTGGAGGTGCCGGCGCACAGGGAGAACTTGAAAACCCACTGGCCGGCGAACCGATCTAGAAGCACGTCTCATCCTCAGGGTGGCCCGAAGATGACCATTATGTTTGAGTCGGGAGTGTCCCCCTACAGAGGGGCTTTGAAAGAAAAATGCAAAATAATCGTTACGTAGAACTGTATGATATGTGTATATATATATACATCAACAAAAAAAGAACTCGGAGATCGTCCACAAACTGTGGTTCAACTATTCTTGAACATTCCTCCTGCAGAGGGACGATGCCGACTTGAGGGTGGCCCCAAAATGGCCACTACGCGGCCTTCGCCCTGGCTCTCCCTCGGACCCGGCTCCTCGCGGACCCCGCTCCTCTCGGCCCCGAGCTCACGAGCTCACCATCGGGGAGGGACACGTCCTGCAGGGAGGCCGTGCCGCTGGCAGCGTCAGAGGAGGGCGAGGCCAGGCGAGCTTTGTGGAAGCCTCAGGCCGCCACGCAGCGCCCCGACGCCGCCAGGCGCGCTCCCCCGGCAGCTCCCTGCCCCGCGGCCGCGGCCTCTCCGCGGACTCGGCAGGCGGCCACCAGCAGCACGCGGGGGCGCCCAGCCCGGCCAGGGGCCGCGCGGGCGAGCTCGGCCTGGAGCGACGCTCGGGCGGGCTCCTCTCGGCCCTCGCGGACCTCGGGCTCGCCCCCTTCGGGCACGGCTCCCCATCGGACCCCTCTGCTCGGACACGAGGCCCCCGCTCGAGCGGGACGTCCAGTCCGGAGCCAGCCAGGTCTCCAGACACCCTCGCGCCGTGAAAGAAGATCGCGACGGGAAGTTTTTCGCTATTTTCGGCATCTGAGGGCCTTTACCGGGCCTCGGGAGCGTCAAAGAACAACTCAGGATGAGAAACCAGTCCCGGGGAATGGGTCGAGACCTCTGGGGGTCGACGCTCTAAAAAAATCACGGCGTTGGGGGTCTGGGTCCGAGTCTGGCTGGGTCTGAGGGAGGCCTGCTCCAGGGGGGGCGGAGAGCTGTTGGGGTCCCCCCTCCCTCGCTCCGAGCCAGACCTGCTGAACACAATTGGCTGCTCAAAGATTGCTGCATCTCGGGCGTGTCCTTGAAAGGCTATTGGGCCAGCGTGGCTCCAACATGGTTTCAGGTCTCCACGATGACTCAAGATATCCCCCATATCGCTCCAGATGACCTCCACGATGCATCCAAGATGCTCCAAGACTGCTCCAAGACGGCCCCGAATGGCCACGGAGCCTTCCATGGATGCCTCCAAGCTAGCTGGGTCTGCAGGAAGCCTGTTCCCTGTTCCAGAGAAGCCCCAGGAGGCCTCAAGGCGGCCCCAAGAAAGCCCAAAAGCGCCCCCGAAAAGCGCCCCAAGAGGGCTCCTAAACGCGACTCTCCGACAACGGGGAGAGGCCACCAAAAGGTCCCAGGAGGTCCGTCAGAGGTCCCCAAAAGGTTCCTAAGAGGTTCCCAGGGTCACCAGGACGCCCCAAGAGGGCTCACCCTGATCCTCCCTTTCCTCCTCCTTTTTCTCTTCATCTGCAAAGCGTTCACCACGGGCTTCCGTTACGACTCGGGGAACACTTGGTCCAGTAGATTGGCCAGACTTTGGCCCAACGTTTGGCCACATAGGCGTTTCCAAAAGGCCGGGTGTGCCCAAGGCGTCTCTGAAGACACACCAAAAAAAAATTAGAGCCCGTTCACTTGCTGAAGGAGTTCGGCCAGCTCGCGTTCCGGTGTCAGACGGATCTGGGGCTTAAGACGGCATCGAGGGCCCCAAAGACGAGCCCAGAAAGGCTCCAAGAGGGCCCCGAAAGTCCCAAAATAGCACCCCAAGAGAATCCCAAGACAGCACCAAGAGACTGTTTTCGGACTCCAGAGGCGCTGCCCGAATTATTTGCGTTGCGTCCCGTTTAAAATCAAGAGCCTCCAGGATGGCCTCCAGAGAGGCAAGATTCCCACAAATTGGAACATACCCCACGCGTGCCCCCGTACTGTACACCAATGTCGCCACCCACCATCCTCCCCCTCTCCCGAGCAAGATAACTAACCATGCCGCACCAGCAGGCGTGTCCGTAGGTCGGGCCAGGCGGCTCGCTTGAGACTGCAAATGTGCCACCCTTAACCTGAAGACGGCAACAGGGTGGAGGCCTGGTGGTGTTTAAGATGCAGCTCTCGCCCTAGCGCCGAGCAAATTTGCTTGAACAAACCGCAATAACTACCGAGATCGAACGCCAGGCGTCTTCAAAATGCGGCTCCCGCCTTGGCGCCGTGCGCATCCGCTTCAAAGTATCCAACAGCTTCAAGGGGCGCTGGTGGTTTCAAAATGCGGCTCGACCCTGAGCCGCGCACAGTGGAGAGCCAGTGGTTTTCAAAATGCGGCCCTCGCCGTAGAGCCGCGCACAACCGTTTTAAGAGCTTCCCACAGTTACATGGATGGAGGGCGGATCGTTGTCGATATGCGGCTCTCGACGTAGAGACGCGCACATTCGTTTCGAAACTTCCCAGACATGGACTACAAGGATGAAGGGCCGGATGTTTTCAAAAGCGCATCTCGCCGCAAGGCCGGGCACATTCGTGTGTAAACCCTCCGACAATCACAAGGACGAAAGCTGGTTCGTCAACAAATGATCCCCTTCAACATATGACCCGAGGCTCCAAACCGTGCAACAGTTACACGGATGGGGGGAGCTCTCGCGCGGATGGAGGGCAGAATCTGTTCTAATCGGACCATCGCTTGACACTTCCCTGAACCTTATCATCCTACCTTCTCCTCCTCCTCCTCCTCATCCTCCTCCTCCTCCCTCTACTCCTCCTCCTCCTCCTCCTCCCTCTTGTCCTCCTCCTCTTCCTCCTCCTCCCTCTCCTCCTCCTCCTCCCTCTTGTCCTCCTCCTCCTCTTCCTCCTCCTCCTCCCTCCTCCCTCCTCCCTCTCCTCCTCCTCCTCCTCCTCCTCCTCCCTCCTCCTCATCCTCCTCCCTTTTGTCCTCCTCCTCCTCTTCCTCCTCCCTCTCCTCCTCCTCCTCCCTCTTTTCCTCCTCCTCCTCCCCACTCCTGTGACTCCAGCCAGAGGGATGGAAGGCGGATCCTCTGCAAGACGGAGGCTCGTTCGAACGGCAGGCCCAGTGGGCGCTCGTCACTCACGGGGGAGGGGGTGCTTCCCGCAGTGGGCGGTAATACTCGAAGAGGCCTTGCGAGGAAGGGCCTCGTGGGACGGGAGGGCGTATTGCGGCATCGTTGATGCATCCTGGGTGGTACGCTGGTCCTCCTCCTCCTCCTCCTCCTCCTCCTCCTCCTCCCTCTTGTCCTCCTCCTCCTCCTCCTCCTCCTCCTCCTCCTCCTCCTCCTCCTCCTCACCCACGCTGTACGAACAAAGGGAGACGGGAAGGGCCACGAGTGCGGAGTCTCTCATGGCAAGGAGTGCGGACGAGCACGCACGAGCACCTCCGATGCAGTCGGAAAGCCTCCGGCGCAGAGCGAGCACCGTCGATGCCGTCAGAGGGACGAGAAGCGAGTAGGAATGGGGAGGGTCACACAGTAATCCCACACAACCAATCCAGGTGCAAGCGCCACTCAGTCCATCTAGAAATGTACATCCAGTACAAATGAACTCACGATTTGACTGTAGTTGAGAAAGGGAGCGAAAAGCGTGAGCTCCCTTAACGATAGAACCATGTGTGTGCGGGTTTGCTTTGCTTGGTTCTAGGAAGGAGGGGACGAGCTGGGCTGGAGCGCAAAAAACGCTGAACCTCACCGTTGTTCGTATGTGTGGTTTCTGTGTGCGATGTTCAACCCCATTCTTCTGGCACAATCTCAAAAAGACGCCACCCCATCTCTGCGACTGATGTGGCAAAAAGCACCACTCCTGCAGCATCTTCTGACAAGCCCTCTGCTTCTCCTCCTCCTCCTCCTCCTCCTCTTCCTCCTCTTTCACGTCATCAACGACAACCGCTTGTCACCATCACGGCAATCATCACTATCAGCATCATCAGCATCATCATCATCGCCACAATCGCCATCAACAACCAAGAAATCATCGCCCCAATCGTCACTACAACCACCCGCCTCATCAGCGTCAGCATCATCGTCCTAGTCGTCGTCGTAATCGCCGTCGTCACCGTCATCATCCTCATTATCCTCCTCCTCCGTCTCCTCTTGGTTATCCTCAACCATCAGCATCACCACCACCTCACAATCCCATGATCACCCGAGTCATCAGTATCATCTTCACCATACTGACCATCACCACCATCATCATCAGCATCAGCATCAGCACCATCAATATTCTCATCATCATCAGCATCATCACCACCACCATCATTAGCATCAGCATCATTATCAGCAACATCATCATCACCGTCATCGTCATCACCATCATCACCCCCCCTCAACATCCTCCTGCTGGGTGTGTAAACGCATTCCTCGTCCTTCCCCTCCTCCTCCTCTTCCGCCTACCAGTAGAAGGGTCGGCGCTCTCCTGCAGCATCTTCTGATGGAAGCACGTTCGCGTAGGAGTGGCTGCCCCTGGAAACGTTCGATCCCCCTTCCCGCTCTTCCTCCTCATCCTTCTCCTCGTCCTCGTCCTCGTCTTCGTCCTCTTCCTCCTGTTCCTCCTCCTCCTCCTCACACACCCACCCACCCGCTCACTCACTCACCCAGCCACTCACTCAGTCACTCACTCAGTCACTCACTCACTCATCCACTTTCTCACCCAATCACTCACCCGCTAACTCATTCACTCGCTAACTCCGCTCCACCTTGTCCCTGCCTCCGCTATCCCCTCCCACCTTCCCTCCCCTCCCTCTCCCCCTCCCCCTCCTCCTTCTCCTCCTCCTCCTCCTCCTCCTCCTCTTCCTTAAACGACTCCTTCTCTTCCTCCTCCTCCCCCTCCTCCTGTTCTTCCTCCTCCACCTCTTCCTCCTCCACCTCCTCTTCCTCCTCCTCCTCCCCCTCCTCCTCATCCTTTTCCTCGTCATCCTCCACCTCCTCCTCTTCACCCTCATCCTCCTCCTCGTCCTCAGCATCATCATAACCATCATCACCACCACCACCACCATCATCACCAGTATCAGCATCATCATCATCATCATCATCATCATCATCATCATCACCACCACCACCACCATCATCATCAGCAGCAGCAGCACCAGCGTCATTCTCATCATCACCGTCGTCATCATCATCATCATCATCAGCAGCAGCAGCAACATCATCATCATCATCATCATCATCATCATCATCATCATCATCATCATCATCATCATCATCATCATCAGCATTATCATCATGAACCACATCATCTCCGACATCACCATCAGCATCATCATCATCATCAGCAGCAGCAGCAGCATCAGCATCACCATCATCATCACCATCACCCTCATCATCATCGTCAACATCAACAGCAACATCACCATCAGCACCATCAACATCAGCATCAGCAGCAGTATCCCCATCATAAGCATCACCACCACCATTATCAATAACATCGCCATCCCCAGTAGCATCATCATCGTCATGGACAGCGTGATCATCATCATCATCATCATCATCATCATCATCAGCATCCCCATCATAATCCTCATCATCATTGACATCATCCTCATCACCGATATCATCCTCATCGCCACCATCCTCACCATCGACATTAGCACATGCAGCAGCATCATAAAAATCAAGAGCATAATCAGCATCGTCAACATCAGCATTGCATCGTCAACGTCATTCGCATCATCATCCGCACCATCATCATCACCATCGTCATCAGAATCAGCAGTAGCAGCATCAGCATCATCATCATCATTACCATCATCATCGTCAAACTCATCATCACCATCATGCACATCATCGTCACAATCGTCGCCATCATCATAAGCAGCAGCATCAACATCATCACCATCAGCATCATCATCAGCATCATCACCGTCAACGTTATCATCATCAGCATCCTGATCAGAATCATCATCATCATCATCATCATCATCATCATCATCATCATCATCATCATCATCATCAGCATCATCCTTCTCATCCTCATCATCATTATCATTGTCATCATCATCATCATCATAATGATCGTCATCGCTTCGGACCCTCCAGGCCTGTAATGCCTAAGACAGGTCGCGCCTGTCTCATTCGCAGCCGGCTTTCTGGCAACGGCGGTGCAGCGGTTCACGCTCACGCTCACGCTCACGCTCACGTCCGCCTACATCCTTCGCTCGGGCTCCAGGCGTACCTCGCACGCTGGCGGCATCGGCGCAAGGCAATATATGGGCTCGGCCTATCCATCTGGTGCCACTACAACCTCTTTCCCGTCGGTTTGTATGTGGTGCTCAACTTCGGCCCCACTCGTGGCGGTGCCTACTTCCGGCACAGGGCGGCCCACTTCAGGCGGCGGCTCCAACGGAAGCGGCTCCCACGGCGGCGGTTCCCACGGCGGCGGGTCCCAAGGCGGTGCCTCCCACGCGGTTCCCAAGGCGGCGGCTCCATAATCATCATCGTCATCGTCGTCGTCGTTGTCAGCATCATCAGCAGCATCATTTTTTTCCCGCTGAAGACACAGCAGCTGAGGGCCCCTTGAACGCGACCCAGGGGCGAGGAGCCACCCAGACTTTCGGCGACAGCCGAACGCCTTATGTACACTATGGTACCAGTCCTCTACTCAAAAGCGTTCTGACAGAGCCTGCTAAATACGACATCGTTACAATACCCCGACAAGGACGGAAGCAAAAACTTGAAATGGCCCTGGACTCGGGATCCCAGCGGAGGGGCGGAAGACGAGGAGGAGGAATCGAGAACGGACAGCGGCGCCGTGTGTGCATCAATCCCCACATGGTCAAAACGACCACTTACATAATCAGGCCTCACACAACGAGTCCATCATCAGCAGCATCATCATCATCATCATCATCATCATCATCATCATCATCATCATCATCATCATCATCATCACCATCATTATCATCACCATCATCATCACCATCATCATCGTCATCAGCATAATCATCATCAGCATCATCATCATCATCATCATCATCATCATCGTCATCATCACCATCATCATCATCATCTCCACTGTTCATAATTATCGTCATCATCATCATCAGCATCCCAATCACCATCATCAGCATCATCAGCATAATCAGCGTCATCATATTTATCATCATCATCAGCATCGTCATCATCATCGTCATCATCATGACCACCACCACCAACAACAGTATATATATATCATTCTTCAGCATTGTCATCATCCGCAGCAGCATCAGCAAAGACATCATCATCATCATCATCATCATCATCATCATCATCATCATCATCATCGTCATCGTCGTCATCATCAACATCAGCATCATCAGCATCATCATCAGCATCATCATTTTCATCAACATCATCACCACCATCATGGCCACCACCACCAGCATCAGCATCACCATCATCTTCATCAGCATCATCACCATCAGCACCACCACCACCGACAACAACATCACATTATTCTCCAGCATCGTCATCATCAGCAGCATCAGGAGAAACATCATCATCAGCATCATCATCGTCGTCAAAATCGTCATCAGCAGCACCAGCATCATCGTCAGAATCATCATCGTCATCATCATCATCATCATCAGCATCATCATCATCATCATCATCATCATCATATAGTCATCATCGTCATCATCATCAGCAGCAGCACCATCACAATCGCCATCATCATAATCATCATCATCGTCATCAACGTCAGCATCATCGTCTTTACCAACAGTTTCATCATCGCAACTACCACCATCATCAGCAGCATGGGCAGCATCATCGCCACCACCACCATCATCATCATCGCACCAGCTATCCAGGCCAGGAGAGCTTTTTGGGTGTTTCAAGCCAGGCTCTCGAGCAGGCAGGGCAGCATTCACTGAACTCGGAGGGGGAAGGGGAAGGACGAACGCCGACACGGCACAGACACACACAACACACACACACACACACACACACACGGCGAACGAGGAGGAGAGAAGAGAAAGGAAAGGGAGGCAAGAGGGCGGGCACAGAAAAGGCTTGAGCCGGGGCGGTTTCGGAGAACCCGCGCGGCCTTCAACGCCCCAACGATTATCGTTCGAGAACGGGCCATCGCACCAGCTATCCAGGCCAGGAGAGCTTTTTTTGTGTCTCAGGCCAGGCTCTCGAGCAGGCAGGGCGGCATTCACTGAACTCGGAGGGGGAAGGGGAAGCACGAACGCCGACACGGCACAGACACACACAACACACACACACACACACACACACACACACGGCGAACGAGGAGGAGAGAGGAGAAACCCACACAACCCCTGGCGGGCTCCTGGCAACAGCCGCTGATTAATGTAATACCTGCCGCAGGCGGCAGAGGCGATTAGAACCAATACTGTTTTTCAGCGCTCGGGCAAAGGCGTGGCAAAACCGAACAGGGTAAGGCTCCGCGACTTTCGTCCACAATTTGCCCGAGCTCTGATCGACTCCAGTCAGCACGATGCGGGGCTTATTCGTGTGACTGCAGATGCCCCCCCTCCCCCGGCAGAGCGGAGGGAGAGACATAGAGAACGAGGGGGCCCAGACCTGGACCCGGGTCCGCTTGCGCCACCTGGCGCCAAACCCACAGTAGTCCGTCGTGCAATTGTGGCTGGTCCGATCTCTAAAGAGCCGCTGAAGCGAGGGGACCTGCCACATCCAGCTGGACCCAGGATTCTCTAAGGCCACTGGGGTGCCCACTCGGATGCAGGCGCTGACGACTCGCAGGCTAAACTTAAGCTGGGAGTTGCCCCGCTTGCAGGCCTTAGAGGCCCGAGGGTCGAGGTTAGGGAGGCCCCAGAGGTTGGCGGGGTCGCGGAAGCGGCACCAGCTTGAACCCGGAGGCCCGTGGCGCGTCTGGGACCAGGTGCAACAGGGAGTCCCAAGCCACACTGATACTGCAACACCGCTGGAGATCCAGCCCAGGAGAGTGGACTGGACAACGGGGCGATTCAGAACAAACCAAGGCTGACTGATTATTTCTGCTGAAACGACACCAAGCCCTAGAGAACGCATGGCTTTAGAAAGGCCGGCTTCACCGGCGAACAGCTCGAGAAAAACTTGTTTTTTGCTCACGGAGCTGCTGCGAAGTGGCCGCCGGACCACGCGTCGCAGCCAGGCACCCACCTCCTGGTCGCTCAGGACCGCGGCGGAACCGGAGGGAGCGGCCGTCCGAGGAGGAACGCGCTCTCGAGGCCCTCCGAGACGCGGCGGCCGTACTCCACGATCGGCGCCGGAGCCTTGTGGAGCTCGGCGAGCGCCCGAGCCTCCTTGCCGCGCCGCCTGAGCATCGAGTCGCTGCGCCAGCGGCCCCAGCCTTTGACCTCCAAGACGCTCAGCGACTTCAGCAGGAGGTCGTGCGAGGCGCCGCCGTGCCGGAGGCCGTAGGCGGTGATGCCCATCGCGCTGAGCCCCAGCGCCGCGGCCGACACCTGCAGCTGCCCCGACAGGTCGCCGGGCGGGAAGCTCCAGAGCCGTTGATC